ACTTGGGTAAGTCTTAATTCAATTTCAAAAAGTATATATTTCATATAACCTTTTAGTTTATCGTGCAGACTTTTCTAAGTCCGCATGTATCTGCATATGTCTGCATCTGTCAATTATGAATTTTGCTTAGGTTAACGCAAAAATGCTACAAACCAAGCAAAACGGCAAGGTTAAATTTGTAGGAGTGTAAATACCAAAACAAGTTTCAAAGTAAATACAAAATAAAAATAAATTATTTTTAGAGACAAAAAAAAATCATAAAATCATATAAACAAAAAACTTAAAATACCAAAAAGTGAAAAGTCAGCAAGCAAAAAAAGTTCAAAAGTTAAAGACTCCAACGTAAATAAAAATGCAACTTTCAAAATCTTCAAAAAAATACTAAAACGACACTAAATTAAAAACAAAAGTTATTTTCAAAAAACACCAAAAAAAAAACAAAAAACACTATAATAATTGTATACAAAATATGCTTGAGACTTAACATAAAAAAAACATTTTAACTGTAAATGATTTGTTCGTTTCATTGAAAAATTAATTTGAGATACATTTTCGTATTGTTCTGTGCGAAGAAAGAAGAAAAGTTGGAGCTGTGCGAGTGCGCACAAACGCAGTCGTTGAAGAAAGAAATACATTAGCTGCCATTTGCACCTTTTGTTGCACGCAGTTAGAGAACACAAAGCCACAATAGGTGAAGTGTCCAAAATCCATAAAAACGCACTAAAATGATAAAAATGATTGAAGTCGCAGTTTGGAGCGCTTCGAAACTGCGGGTTTCTGGCATTTCCATTGACCAAGTGTCCGGGAAACCGTTGCCCATTGTTCACCACATTCGAGCCACAAGCTTGTAATTATGGAAAATGATAATTTCTTCTTGTATTTATTTTGTTCAAATTTTTGGTTTATTTTTTCATATTTTTTTTCTTTTGGGATTTAATAAAATAAAATATGCTTCGCATTACTCAAACGTCATACAAATATTTGAAGCTCAGAGTATTTTGGCTCAAATTTTTGGTTTTTACTTGTTTTCTGCCGTTTCCATAGAATTTCTTCTGGTAAGTGAAAGCCATTGAACCGTGCGTACTTAGTTTGATTGTGGGAACTCGTTCGTCGTAATTACACTTCACTTTACCGCCATAAAAACACAAATTCTGTGTGGTTTAATCTCACTTCTTATATTAAAAGTTTTAAATACTTTTCATTTCCTAAACGTGCGCTTCTATTTTCTTAATTACAACTTTATTTTCTTAAGCTGGAAACATTTTATTAACATTTTTAAACTTCTTCGTGACTTTTTAATTTTTTAAATATTTTAATTATTTTTCTCCATCTTTTATAAGCATTTGTGACTTTTTGTATAAAATTAAGTAAAGAAAAAATGTTTATATAATTTTTAATATTAGTATAATTAATAATAAATTAAAATATTAAAGATTTTATATAATAATATTATATATCGTTATGTAGTATTGTTTTTTTTTATAGAACGGAAATTGATTACAAAAAGTATTATTTTTTGCGATTTGGTAAATTCAAATATCTTGAAGAAAAATATAAAAATATTTTTTAAATTAAAAATATTTAAATCATGGCTGGCCAAACCAGAGTGCCATCGCGGGCCAAAACAAACACTGTATAGATTGAGGCTGCGGGAACAAATACATACGTTCAAGTTTTTTTGACAAAAAATACAAAACGGTTATAAAAATTCTTCAAAGAGGGCAAAATATTGCCTTAAGAAAACTGGTTAACGCCCCATGGTATGTAAAAGGAGCCGATATCCACAGAGATCTGAGAGTGGATTCAGTTGAAAAATACATTAAAGATCGTGCTCTGAAACTGTTCAATACAATTGACAGTCACAATAATCCAACACTCAGTATCCTAAAAATACAGCCAAATCTGATAAACACAGGCAGATACAAAGACATCAG